CTATCCCCACTAGGGCGAATACCATTACTATCCCTACTGGGACGCATGGCACTACTACCCCCACTAGGGCGAATACCATTACTATCCCTACTGGGGCGAATACCATTACTATCCCCACTAGGGCCCATAGCACTACTATCCCCACTAGGGCGCATACCACTACTATCCCCGCTAGAGTGAATACCAACAAAATCATCGCTAGCGTAGCCTTCAGCATTACCCCTAGAATGGTCATTACCACTATTGCTTCTAGGGCGATTTTCAGAACTAGCGCTACTAGGTTGGCCATCACCTCTTAATCTACTAGAGCGACTGTCCCCATTAACCATATTAAAATAATCATCAGAACTACCACTTCTAGATCGGCCATCACCCCGGTACCGACTATAGCGGACAACCTCAACACTTCTACTGGGGCGAACATCAACGCTAACCCTACTAGTATAATCATCAGAGCTACCACTTCTAGATCGACCCTCACCGCTGCCCCTAGTAGTGTAATCATAACCAGTTATTCTACTGGCACGGCCATAACTACTATTGCGGCTAATATTAGTACTATCATTTGTACGGAAACCTCTAATACTTTCGGGATTGTGAACATCACCGCAGTTATCATCATCAATAGCAGCACTGTCATGACTATCATGCAAAGTTAAATCGTAAAGACGACAACAACAGTCCATATTGGAATCACAATAGTTACAACAATATATGTGGTTATTCCCACTAAAACCACCACTACCGACATAACTGTTATGGCCATCATCACTATCAAGACTACTATTCCTACTCGTACGCCGAATGGATGTTGTACTTACTTTGGGTTTTGTTTCTTTGCGAGCGGTATTCGGGTTCACGTACAATGACTCGGTGCGCTTAGGTTGACCGATAGGTGATGGGACGATCTCCTGGCCGAGGTTTCGTTGTCTAAGTATAATTTCTTCGAACGGCGGTGGTTGACGCTGCGTGGCGGCCGACGACGAGATGTTTTGATTAGCCCCGGCCGCCGACGCTGCAACGAAGCCCGCCGCTCCACTGTATGATTTATTTGCTGCAGAAGACGATGATGACGGAAGTCGATCATCTCCTCCTCTTCTCTGCTGTTGCTGATTTTGTGACTTCTCCACTGATGACTGTCTCGACCCTCCACTGAGCCGACTGGCTGCCCGGCTATACCGGTCTACACTATTATCCCGGCTCGGTGGTTTCTTGTAGTGATCAAAATGGTCGCTCATTGCCTGCCAAAATACAACCATTGTCACAAACGTTGATCATTATGTATTTACCCCTCCTTTTTTTAAAATAAGAATGATATTATTAAAGGTCTTGGGGTGTAAAACGGAAATAAAATATGTTACACTACTTTTTGTATTAACAGTATACGGCATACGTCAAAAAATAATTATTTATTATAATTGTAAATAATTATTATAGAGCCGTGCTAAACTAGTACGAGGTAAAAACTAAGTATATAGTAGATACTCTGATAGAGAGTTACTCGTCAGCCTTCATTGATTTCTAACAATTTAACACGGTGCGTGAGTTGTGATATTTAAAATTATTTTTTAAACTGTTTTCACTCTTGCCCATAAAACGATAAAATGTATAATGTAATATGTATAACGTCGATGATGGTAATTCGCATAACTTATAAAATATTAAGTGTCAGTGAATAAAAACCAATTATGTTTATTCGCTAGTCAGCATATTTCAAAGTTTAATTTTTTTAATAAACTTGGATAATTTTTTTTTCTTATATTTTAATTTCATATAATTTATAAAGTTATTACCACAAAAGTTTTATTTTCAAACCAAACTTAACGCGTTGACACTGAATTATTTCGATATTAATATTGTTCAAATCTGAGTAATGGCTGTACAGGTCTCACAATAGGCTCAGTAGCAGTAGCGACTGCACAGTTAGAACTTTGGTATTAATATGACTATACATAATTCCAAGTCGTCTTCAATTTGACACTGGTACCCCGTATAAAATATGCAAAAGAGTAATGTGAATCACATTAATTTATAATCGAATAATATTTGTGTGATGAATAATAATTCTGATAAAATATAAAAAATTGCTACGAATTTAAAATGTATATTATAATATGTTTAATGTCAATTGACATTTCGACTTATAATAATTTATCTATCCAACCGAAATTACTAAACACAAACTCAAAAAGAAATAATAAATTATTGAGTGTAATTAGATTATTAAGAAAAGCAATAAATACTAAAATTATAAAAATTAAATCATTTTTAAAGAAATTGAAATTTTTAATTCACATAATATAAAATCAGATATATATAGAATTTTTTTTAAATAATATTTTGATAACCTTTAACTATTAATATCTATAATACTTAAATAATGTTTGTTTATCTGATTGGAGAATTTTGATAAAAATTTCTTGAACGGTTATTACCATACATCTGTTTATCATTTCAAAACTGGATTATGAAAAAAAAAAAAAAACGAATCATTCATATTTTATGATAAATGATATGTATTTCAAAAATACATTAGGTACATTAGCTTTTCATAGTTGTATGAAAAATATATTTATACAATCAGAAGTTGACTTAATACCCTACTCTACACACAACCAAATGGGATTTAAAATCATTAATTATTGTTATTGATTAATATTTAATATTGAGACAATTTAAAAATAATTCACTTTTGATTTACTTCAATTTTCAGATAACTTAATTATTTTAAGAACATTAACCCCATAGCTGGATAAATTATAATTATTGTAAATAATTAAATCCTTTTGAAACACTTAGGGACTATCTTAAAGAATCAGCTGAATGTTTATCATTAATAGTTAACACCACGAAAAAGTTAGTCAATATAAACTATATACGAGTATACAAATTGAAATTAATTTAAAAGTTCAAATGTCACTAACAAATTAATAATATCAGTTGTATTATTTATAATTCAAAATTAAGACGATTAAAATAATTTGTAGAGACACTGTTCGTTTATCTTTCCCGTATATATCGTTAATTAAACCTGGTGAAGAGTTATTCATTATTTGGAACAGTACACTAAACAATGAAACCTCATAAATTTGAGTTCAAATTACGTACGCTTTGATGATTTTAAGGGGTTCCATAGAATTTCAAAGTGTATTATGTGCATTACCACAATCTGTCTGAATGTCATAGTGAGAACATTGTTTATGCTCACTTTGGTAACCAGCTTAACTAATTGCAAAAGTCATACGAGAACTGAAAATGCGTCAGAAATAGGTAGTTTAATATAAGTCCAGGTATAAATAATATCATTAAATTGAAGGCAGCGTAGGGCATCCTACTTTAGAACCTGAGGTAAATTTTTACCCAAGAAAACAAAACTATAAACAGACCTCAGATAAGATTCTACGTTGTTCAGTTAAATATAATACATGATCTTCTGCAGCGACATTGGTATCGCCTGCATACCAGTGACGTAAAATACTATTTAAAACGTTGAAAAAAAAGCTGGAAATTTGTGAATGTATAATTGACCGGTTCGTACTAAAAAATTATATAAATAAAACATTTAATCTCTACAATATTTTACAATCATTTAAAAAAATCATCGAATTTTTCACTCGATATTTTAACTATAAAGATTATACAACTGATTTTGCATTTCGTTTTTAATTATAGTTAAGTAGGTTTATCAAAAATACGGTTTTAAATGTAAATTTTAATTGCCCTGTAATGTTTAAAATATAAAATAAAAGCATAAGTAAAAAAATATTACCAGAAAATAAATTCAACTAATAGTTTTGCTACTAATTAATATTGTGTCCAAAATTGTGAAATATTAAATACGCTCAAAAGCGATGAACTGAATAGCTGAATAACTGCTACCAAAAACAAAAAGAATAAATATAAGTATATAACATAAACAAACATAATATGTTATTAGTTATTACTGTATTTTATCGAGAATTTCAAAACCATAAATACCTTATTCAAATTTTTTTTTGAGATATAAAATAATGCAAATGTATACATACCTAAGCGATGAATTTATAAATCGTTTTTATGCGATTGTTTTAACAAAATAATATTATCGAAATATTATGATATAAATATAACTTTTGTTACGAAGAAAAAATAATTAAAAGGGCTTATTTAAAAAAAAATTATAGCAATATTTAACTGTGGCTTGATAGACAAATATCGTTCAGAAGTTTAGTAAATTTGAAGTAGTGTCGAAGGACGCCCCCTCACTCAAACCTCTAAACCTTGTACAAAAAAAAAAAAAAAATATATATATTAAATAATCATTATTGTTTTGTTATATTATAGATTGTAAATACATGTTTGTTCAGAAAAAAAAAATAGTTTAGTAAATTAATGTGTTTAAAATGTTAACGCGAATGACGTAAAAATGATAATTCTAATTAAATTTTTATCAAAATTATATGAACAAAAAAAAAAAAAATATTAAGATCAAAGGTTCTATGTTAGACCTCTAACGGTGTTGAACGTTCAAAAATATTAAAATGAGAAGTAAATTTAAATAAACTATAGGTACCTATGCATAGTTTAAATTGCGAAGGAATATTCGAAATTGGTTGAATTTCGTAATGTGAAGAGTTTCTCGTCCGTGATTTATACTAACACAAGATCCTACTAAATAATATATAACATAAAATTATTGTCTCAGATAAATTTATCATATCAATAATAAATATGTAACTTGTAACTTCATAAGCGTATAATAGATGTAACTTGTTACTGAGTATGCTCAGTACTTGCAACATAGGTAAGATTACGTACAACGCCCGATGGTGTTATACTTCATGATATACATAGTTTGGAAAATTTCAGTTTACTGTTTATTATGTAATATAATCGCGGTGGTTACAAACGTCATTAAGAATCCTAATTTCATTAATTACAAGTTACAACTAACAATTATTACACCATTTATAATGTATTCTCTGTACAGAGAAGTAATTATGCGAGTGTGAAATATATTACGTATATGTATAAACAAAACGAATGTTTGAGTGAATAAAAATGAAACGTATTAAACTTTTATTCCTTTGTTTGCTGGGATTTTTCGATTAGGATTATTTTTATTTCAACTCATATAAACGGGAAACTATTAAAAAAAATGGAAAAATTATATTATACTATTGAAACATTTATAGATATAAATCTGAAAAAATCCTGTTCTCCAGACTCCTCTTCAACCACTAATATTTATTGCATATATTCACGCATAAGGCTCAAGACGTTTTGATGGAAGTGTTTGACGTATATTTTTTTTTATTTTTTTTTAAGCTGGGTTGACCTATAAACAGGATAAAGTATTATAGGTAATTAGGTAGATAAAAATGTAAATAGTATATAATTGAGCTCCTTCTAATCAATATCTTTGTTCGGCGAATCATTTTAAATAAAGTTGCCTTACACGGCAGGAGTGCCAAAATAATAATGATCAATTTTTTTTTAATTTTCATCGATTAAGAAATTCAAATTATATAATCCAGGACACGCGGAAGACGTCAAAAATTTGTTTATCGTAAATATTATTATAACAAAATAGATATTGTCGTCGGATTTATCATTCTGTTATGGGCTACGAGATATGTTAATAAATATAAGTATATATAATAATAATATGTAATATTGCTAGAAGTGTTAGCAATAGTAATATAGATTTATATATATACGTGGCCTAATAACTGTAATATATACGAGATAGTAGATTCATAGAAATATGAATCTTGTTTTAAAAACATCATAATAAATATATCAAAATAGCAGTCGTGTGACGAGGTCGTTTAAATATATTATTGCATTTCCACGAATTGCCAATTAAAAACAGATGACATCCTGGAGATTGTTGTTTTCAAGTGTGAAAACAATTCCAAGAATTAATATGAATTGGAAGGTTGTCAACTACAGCAACAAGAGACTTCTTTGTATATAAGGGAGTCTAGAGACCAACAAGGGCAGATGTATCAGAGCCACGAAGACCTGAGCAACTTCACAACACTCAGCCACTTTTTGTATCAGTTACATGAACTTAATTTATGCGTAATAAAACATTATTGTTCTTAAGAGTTGTAAATTTCATTTAAATAACACCCTGGATCTGGATCCGATGTTGGCACGCAACAATTCAGTGGGCATTTGCTAAAAATTTCGGTAAATGTAACGCGCTCTAGTTGTCAAGATGATAACGGCAAATAATTGAAACTTTGCTAAATCAAGTAATACTTGGCGAATGCAGACACGAATAATAGAATAATAAAATGATATTCGATATTATCCTGTACTTTTTTGTTCGGTTAACGTAAGGAAAACGAAAATCGAAACAAAAAGATACTTAAAGTCGACACATACTCACTCATCGTACAGTGCATCACTATTTAAAATTTAAGCGCACGTATAAGATTTTGATAATTATTTCAGTGATTGTGTTTGGATATTTCTCGTGTAAATAAATACTATTTCCATATGTTTCAGACTGAACGTTAACTATTCACCCACAAATATTTCATGACGAAGTACATTCACAAACTACCAGAGGTAGTTAAAGGTACTACTTTCCATCACAGAACCTTTTAATGATAATGTTTTTTATTTCTACTATTTTTGGCCAAAGCTAATAAAAATAACTTATTTATGCTCAGCTAGGTACCTATTGGATTTACGGATTACAAAACCTCAAGTTGTGTTAAATTTAATGTAAATAATCAATTAAATATTCATAAAAATAAAGACTAAAATAATTCATACCTATAATACAGTACTACTTTTTTCAAGATTTAACCACCTATTTTATGAGAGTAAAACGTATATACTTATAGAACATCTCGTTCAAAATAAAATAATTAATATGGCAATTTTATTTTTATTAATTTGGAAGTAATGTTTTATAACCTAACAATGTTTATATTTTTATGTTGAAATTCTATGATTGGATATTTTTTATTTTTATTTTTATTATCTCAGAAAAATGAGCCATTGGAGAAATACGACAGGTTAAATTGATTAATATTTCCTTAAGTTGACTTTTTCAACTGCAACATCAACGACATAAACCAACGAGTTTAGGTATCTCACGTTTTATTAATTTTAATTTATTCTGTAATTACATAATTTATGATCCATGTATTATAATGCTATTATTGTCACCGGATGTTTCGAATTATTTAAAAAAAAGTAAAATAATTACCTATATAAATAGTTAGAATCTATTATTTTGATTTCTTGGTAAAATTATTAGTAAATAACATTTAATATTAAATTAATATATTGGCAGCTTAATTAGTTGTCATATAAAATAAATTAAGTACATAGACATTAAGCATAGCAACTTAACGTGTCATAAATTCAAAAACAAAACTGTGTTTAATACTAAAAGTTTACAGATGGATTGTAAATTAATTTTCGTTGAATTGAAAAAAAAAAATAAATTCATAAATAGTAAATATAATATCAATTTAACAATCATAACATAGAAATTTAAATTGAGATATAATAATACGGTATAAAGAATAGTAATTAAAAATAATTTGTTTTCGGTTTTATGGACGATTTTTAAAATCATTTTCAGTTTTAGTTTTGTAAACGGTTTTCAAAATATTGTTTTTGTTTATCGAGAAATACATTGATTGATTTTTACTTAAATTAGACTTTAGAATTATCATTTTATTCAATAATATTATTTTTACTAAATTTTTACTTTTTTTAATACATATTATGTGAGCATATTTAGGTATTTATTTATTTTTTTTAATTAACTGATACAGATATGTTTAATTTTTTTTTTTTTTTTTTTTGAATTATTTAATTAAGTTAATTATAGGGTTTATAGTTATTTACATTCAAAAATACTAAATTAAAAAAAAATTAGACTTCACTCATCGTGAATATTGTACTTAAATGTTATAGTTTATTTAAAAAAATTTAATTTGTGATTATATACGGTTATACTTTAAAAAATAATAGGTAATAAGAAAAATAGCAATAGGTATTTAACGTTTGTAGAAAAAAAATATTAGTTTTAACGGTTTTTTAAATACATTTTAAAGTTTGATTTACGGATATTTAGTAAATGCTTGTTTTAACATAAATTTAAATATAACAGTCATTGTTCTTTTTAAAAAACAATTAGTTCCGTAAAATTAATAATGATGATAAGATAAATTAAATGTTTATGATATAAATAGTTAAGACTGTTTGCAATAACAAACTAATACTAAAAATGTTTTACTAATAATTAAAAATGAAAAAACCTATAGATTTTTCACTAACTAGTGGTTAAATCGTGAAAAAAATTAGATAATGTTAAATTATAATGTTCATTAAATTAATATTTCATTGTATTTCGCATGATAAGGAAAAAATCAATTGAAAAATAATGTCTAAATTTATATGAAAAAAAAAATTTTCAAAGAATGGCAACGTCATATTATAATCAATACATTGTTTCAATTCATAGTTTTATGTATAAAAAAAAAATAATAAATTAATAATGGAGAGACCTCCTAGATTAGCAAGTGCAGTAATCACAAATGAAAATAGAAATCAGTATTTTTAATTTAAAAACTCTACATATTTATTTTTACTTAATCCAAAGTCATATATAAAAAAAAAAATCGACTAGGTTAGTTAATAATGCTTCTGGTGTCACTGTAGTCACTACGGTATCTACATCGTTGAATATACATAAAGTATTTTGCAAATACTGCAGCTTTAAGTAGTATTTTCCATACATAAGCATACGGTAATCATTAAATAGCATAATTGGCCAAAAAAAAAAAAAAATTTATAATAATTAATATTGTTTTTAATTATTAACAATTAAACCACGTAATATGCAGTAAAGCCATAATAACGTAAAATAAAATTAGTTTATATGTAATAAGAAAAAAAGAAAATATTAATTTCTCGAAAAACTGTTTTTTGTAGTTACTACACTTGCCATCAAGAGCGCCTAAAATTTGTATAAATTTAAAATTCTATATTATATCGCATAAAATGTAATATAGATATTTAGGTACATTTTTTGTATAATTTATCTATAACAAAGTGTCAAGATTATTTTAAAAATTCGCATCTGTATTTTATAATAATATTTTACGTACATCATTATGTTATTATTTTTAATAATATTTTATAACATGAAATAAGTTCTACTAATTCAATATAAAATCAAATTTTAACCATTATTTCAGTTAAATAAACGGACATCATTTATATATGTAAAACAAATAGAACAATATAACACAAATCATGTGTTGTAAATCTATTAATTTAGTTAAAATGTATTCTTTACTATTGTGACATAGTATTTTTTTAAATATATTGAAACAATAATGATAAAAATCAATGTATTAATAATACATTTTCCATTTTCAATGATTTTATATTTTATGCATGAAATTTAAATTTGCAATATACAAATATTTGGAAATTATAATATTATCTAGCATAATATCGTTTACTTGATAAGTATTATTAATCTACATTTATTTTATAATAGTAAAAAAAAAAAAAAAAAAACATTTATTATCTTAAAATACATATTATTTTATAATACACTTATTATGGCATTATTATTGGTTTTCAAATATTTATTTTTGTTTAATGATCTACACAATACTATGTATTATCTGTATCTATTTAGATAGCGTATTTAAATAATTTATTACAAATATATTATTCGGATGATAAATACCTATTTAATTATTACAGTAAATATATTAAAGTTATAGACCTAGTTTAATCGTATTTACTAAGTTAAAAGGCAACTCAATTATATCATTTTTAGCAAAGTATCCATAAACAACAAGATATAGAAAGTTAAAGCATTCGGTATGGAGTTAATAAAAAAATTAAATTCCTACTTTTGATCCCTTTAACCGTAGGTACTTTAGGTTTTATAAACATGAGTGAGTGGAGAAAATAGTATAATATTAGAAATCAATAAATTTGAAATCTATCAAAATTAATAGAAAATTGATAGTGTTTTCAAAATACACATAACTTTATAAGCTCCAAAATGTTTGAAACAATACTCAAGCCTCTTTATTATTTGTTTGATAATAATTTACTGTATTATATAATAATAAGACGATTTTCAAAAGCTATATCTAATTGTTAATTTTATATTCAATACAATAGAATGCATTCATTATAACGATGAACTATACAAAGAAGGAATCCGAAATTCAAATAAATAAACTAAGTAAATATTAAATCGGAACAAGTAACAACGACCATATACTGCGGTTAGTTATTTATAATCACCCTGAATTAATTAGGACGGATTCGCAGAAGCATTTTACTTAATGTGTAGGAGGTATCGTTTGCAATTTGTCTTATAATCGAAATTCGGTTAGTTAACCGTCTTAAAAACATTGAAAATTTGTAATGCAAATAGAGTGACTGACGTGCACGGGTATTAAATACAAGAAATTCACCGTGCCGTACAACACGAACCGTTTTCGAGACGATGACAACTGCCACCGTCACATGTAACCGCATAGAAAAGCCGACGTCGGGGAATTCGGAAATATCGTCGTCGGCAGTGTAGCCGACACATAGTGTCATTAAAGGACGTTCGTTTTCGGAACGCGAAGATCGAATAGATTTATTAGGGTATATATCACCAAACAAAGGCCGTTGGCTTGATAGCTCTTCGGGGCCCGGGGGCCGCTAATGGACACGACAACAACCGGACATCCGCGCGGAAGAAGTCCGACCCGTTTGAGGGGGATCAGGGAGAGCTGCGGCGGCGGTGGCGACGGACAAATCGTGGTCCGCCGCAGGACAAACCGTAGCAGTACCTCCGCCGGTCAACGGCTGCGTTACCTGTTGGAACGTGTACAGTGACTCTCTGTTGACGTATTTCGTATTGCGTCTCAACAACGAAGGATCGGTGTCGTCGTCGATTCCGGCCTCGTACTGGCTGTAACGATTCGGCCTGCCGGCGCTGTCGCGGCGCGACGACGTCCCAGCGGCGCCCCCCATCGCCTCCTCGTTGGAGCGCGGGTAGGCGGCGTGCGACGACGACGAAAGCGGCGGCGGCGGCGGCAGCATGCGCGGCTGTGAAAACGACGCCCTGTCCGAGATGCTTTGGCGGGCCGTCGGCGCGACTCCACCGGCGCCTCCGTTCTGATCGTACGGCCGTCGGATCGACCCGGCGCCGTACCCCCCGGCGGCGTTCTGCGAGCTACCGGGGTACTGGTCACCACCACTGTTGCTGCTGTTGATCTGGCGGCTCTGCGGCGGCGGCGGAAGCGGCGGCGCCGGATGCTGGGCGGCCGAGGACCCGCCGCCGGTGTTCTGCTGTGCGGTGTAACCGTGGTTCTGTTGTTGCGGGTGATGTTGGTTGGTCGTCGACGGATTATTCTGTCTCACTTCCGGGGTGAGACTGTTTCGGCCGCCGAACGTTTGGCCCATGTTGCTCTGCTGTTGCTGTTGCTGCTGATGGTTTCCGGTCGCAGTGGACTGATAGTAAGGCTGCGCGTAATGCGACCTGGGTCTGAACTGCGGCGTGGTCTCTGCTGCAGCTGCAGCCGCGTCCTGTTGACCGCCGCCGGTAGCTGTGTACAACAAGTTGTTGGTGGACAGAGACAGGGACGACGCGTCAGCCGCGTCCGACGACGAGGACGCTGGGTTTGGCATTGATATCAACGGCTGCAATATCGATTTTTGATCGATTGACATGCGCTGTTTCAAAATCTCCCGGAGTCTGGTTTTTTCCAGTCCTGAAAAATGCACGTCATATTAGTATTTGTAAACCTTACAGGACTACCGCAACAAACAATAGGCGTGCAATATGATCGTTTAAAATTCCTGTATACGCCGAGTAAGTCAGCGCAAAACGGGACTCGGCGTCGCCGCGCAGACTCCACGTAAAATATTCTTCTCATTTGAATCTTCTCGCAAACCGCGGCGGACACCTCGGGCGTGTAGATTTAGCGATTTGATGTTCTTTCTTCGTAGAACGACAATAGGTATATAATTACCGAAACCGCGATTGCGAGCTGGTCGCAACCGAGATCATCTAATATTCAATAACGCTTATTTTATATTTTTTGGGGGGAGGTTGAGGGGGAGGGTGATCTCGTTATGCTATAAATACCTACGTCGTTTTGGACGGAATCAAACAACACTCGCGGTCTGTATTATTTGTAATCACTTATCACTGCGAGGGCGCGGGATACCTGTAAAGTATCATTACGACGCTCTACCAAGCGGCGTTAAATATATAAGAACGATATAACCGTAATGATATCGTACACGACGTGTATACCGACGAGTCTCCGAATATAAAGTTGACACGCGATTGCTGTGGAATATTACCGATTGTTCCCACTTAAAAGTATATTCGTTGTACGAGGTGATTTATTGCATTGAAACTAAATCGCCGCGTGTATTACGGCTATGGATATCCCCTGATGATTCGGCACGTAGCGTGTCTTACGCCGACGAAATCATATTATGACGTGCACAACTCGCCCCGAAGGCGATGTACCGCGTTCAAAGTCTTGATCAATGTGCGCGTACCAGGTAATTACAACAGTTATTATATTTATAAAATATAAAATATAAGCTATACGAAAACGTCCGCAACACACCTGGTTGAATGAAATCTGGCGCAAACTGTTTGGCGGTGAGTTTGGCTATTTCGTAATCCTCTCGAGCGTGGTCCGCTGCGATGTCAGACAGTTCCGCTTTGCCCCTCGCTGTGGCCATCCTACAAGAAAAAAAAAAACAACCGTTGTAAAGCTGTCATGTGATACACTTTTAAACGTATACAGTTATGTCGTTAATAGTTGTCGTAATTAAAATTATAACATGTAACTGATGATATTCAGGCAGAAATACATTCTCGATTAAACTTAAAGTCCGTGGGTGGGACTTGGCGTGAACAAAGTTTTAACTATATTTACTGATTGTTTTAACTTTTAATTTAATTATAATTTTACATTGTTCTGCATTTAGTTTGAGAAATTTAACTTTTCAAGGAGTTTTATGGAATTTTCAATGTTTGTATTACGACATACCCATTAGGAAAATATACATTATCGATTAAAATATTAATATAATATTAATATTTTAAAAGCATTTTTTTTCTTTCATTTAAATATATATTATTTTTTTTTACTTTTTATTATTGAGAAATACATTTTTGAGTTTTTTATGAAATATTTGTCTTCTTTGAAGATTGTTAAATTTAAGCGCTAATTATAACATATATCAACCAAATAGGCAAACAAGTTTGAGGCATCAATTGCGCGTACGAGGTATAATAATATTTTAAAGTATCACATACAGCAATTTAACATATAATTATATTATTTATAATACATATATTTATCTGTGTATAATTTGTTATTTGAGTATATTATTTTCGTTTTATTTATACGTCTAATACTCCTACTTTATTATTATCTGAGATTATAATTGTTTTGACACTTTTGATACTGATAGTATTCCAAAATAACTGATTTAGGTACTATCTTTTCGAAATTGAAAGTCAAAAATTTTTTTAAGCAACATACAAACAACAAATAGTTATTCGTTCACACGTGATTAACGCCAGAACAAATAATATTCATTATAATTAATTTAAAATAAACTCGATTCATAACAATATTATACGCATATTGTGTTGAACAGTCAGTTTTAAACTTTGGTGCCTACATATATTTATATCCAAAAAAAAAGTAATTCTCTAAGGCTAAATCATAATACTGAAAATTATGTAATGCATGAATAAATATTTTAAACTTTCATTAAAATTATTAGCTACTTTGTACATTATTAATACAATTATGTAGCTATTTCAAAAAAAAAATAAATAAAAAATAAGTGAATTCTTGCAAATGTATAAAAGGGTTATCAAAATCAAGTCGTTGAAGTGTAGTAACTACAGGCTACGATGTATCTACGTTGTATTATAATAATTAATTATTATAAAATACAGTAACCTCTGTGTATAGTATACAAAGTAACATGACATCAAATTTTTACTGAAAAGTTACATTATGTCTAAAACAATAAACTTATTAAATTAATTAACATAAATCATTTTTCATAGTATTAAAAATTTAATAATTTTTATCATAATTGATAACTGTTAAAAATGAAAACTTTTTTGAATAGGTGGTGTACCTTTGAAAAAATGATTTAACTATAATTATAATTGTATAATGCATATTATAAATTACCTATCTAATTAAAAGGTATTCTGAATAATTAATATACTATTAACAAGTAGGTGCCCACAAAAACTTATCTGCAGCAATACCTTTGAAAAGTACAATTACGTTTTTACTTAATTTTGTTACATTTATAATTGCTAATATCAAAACAATATTATTTTACATTTTTGTTTTTTATGATGAAATTGTTGTCTGATACACCATAAATTCATAACAAATTTAACAAATTGTATTTAATAGGTATTAAAATTATTTTTGTAATGATTTTTTGAAATAGTTTATTGCCAATAAAAAAAAAAAAAAAAAAAAAAAAAAAAGTAGCAACAAAAGTATATAATTTAAATGGATTTATCGAAATTATTAAGAATACTGCAGATTGTTTGTATCTCAATTCTAAATAACTGTATAATATAAACAAATGTCGAGTATGGGAATAGGCACAACTGTTTCGTAAATAATGATTCAAAAAGGCGTGTTATACAAATAAGATAACGCCGTCTTTTTTACCCACTCGGTTTGAAACATCGATCGATTTCTTAGCTATCTTATTTGTTTCATTTGCCGAATCGATATACCGTGAGTTCACGGTGATTTATATTCTTAAATACTAAAAATAATTATTTTAGTGCGATCAGTTAACCGTCAATAAAAGTGGGGCAAACGCTCAATCATTTATATAGAAAATAATATATAACATGTTCTCGATGATTCCAAAATTGAAACTGAAATCTGGGTCAATTATGAGATAATAATGAAAAACCAGAGAAATCGACTCCTTCAAATTATTTTTAGAATAGTAACGAACTAGTTTAATTCATTAACCAGCAATACTTAATATTTATAGTTTTAAAAATACAATTATTTTTTAATCTGTGATATTATTAATATTATGTATATATATATATGCATTTACGAATAAAATTGCGTACGATGATCATTGCAGGCGGTACCTTTAGTCATAACGAGCCAATGTTAGGTTAATTTTATGTTTTTAGGGTGTTTCCGAATAAAATTGCACTCATTTCGCAATTTTACATAGCCGACGAAATAAAATTAATATATAGTACAACTAACCTGTTAACAGCGGTCAATTTTACAACAGTCCTAACTAACGGTTCGGAAAGTTTCCAGAAAATGTACAACCGTTATCCGTAGTGCTCACCAGCATCAACGCGTGTAGTAATGTATAAATATTAATAGAAACTCAAGTAGAAAACAAAGGGAAAATGTGTGTAATCACAAAAGGCATTCTTAATAAAATGGTTTAATTCTAGTTAAAACGTATCCAAAATTAAATAAAAAATTTACGGTAAGTTTGAAATTCAAGAAAATATTTTTTTTAGTCTATCTTTTATCTGAAAATGGTTACATATTCCAAGAAAAATATTCATTTTAAACCATCTATATTGTTTTGTTTTTTTTTGTGTTAATCCTATTTTCCATTTTCAATGTTTAATTAAATTATTATTTTTATATGATTAACATTATTATTGAAATTAATTACGATATTTATTTATGTTAAAATTAATTTATTTTCACGCTTAAAAGATTGTTAGAAGTTTTTCCAAAATCTGAGTATAGCTGACAGACAAAAAAATACGATCGTGTTGTTCTGAAATTTGTATAATTATGAATTCCACAACGTTGGGCCTCATTTAATTAATAATTGAGTCTTACTTAATGGATTCCTTTGTCGTTCGACAAATAGGTATATACAATCGTGTTTCCAAAAAGGTAATCTATTGTCGTTCACAATTAATTGTATCCCTATTAATTATTTACCAGTAGATAATTATTTAAGTCCTTTGAACAAATACCAATCGAAAATACATAATATATATATTCTTTTCAGCAAATACACGAAATAAGCAAGTTCATTTAATAATGAATATTTTAGGTAATGTGAACTACTATTTTTTTCTCTTTTAGTTTTTTCTTTTTTTTAATCCATTTCAAATGTTATTAATTAAAAAAACACACGTAGAAATATGTTCTTCGATAATATTTTAAGCCATGATTTATATACTTTACTCTGTTGTTGGCGTGTACAGAAAGATTAATATTATTATTAGAAAATGGAATGTCTACGACCTAAAAATATACCAAAAATGACAATAAAAAATTACTTATCAGGTTTGTACAATGTAATTTATAAAAATAGGACAAATTACATTTAGACAAATAATTCAAAATATCATAACATTAAAGTCAAATGTACACGGCCCCCTTATGTATGACTAATATGATATTTGAGCGAGATTATATAATATATAATTTAAGTGAACTTAATATGGACTAACATGAGTTTTCGTTCCCATTTTTGGGATTCTCGTTTAACTTTAATTAGGATGGTTAAAAATATGTAGTGAATATTATAAAATATGTTGTTTAGACATGTAACTTTCCTTGTAACGTATACTTCGTTTACATGAAATTATGTATTTATAACTTCACGACTTACACATATGTAACAACTATTTATGCCTAAATATAATACTTAATAAATTTACGTATTTCAGTAAAAGCATGTGTACCTGTTTATAAGCACCTGAACGTGGTAAATTTAATCAACATAAAACCTTCAATAATAATAATCAAAAAAAATCAACTATCATATAAAAAATGTAGAGAAGTAAAAAAATAAAATAATGTTACCAAGGAAAAATGTATTTATAGCTAAAAATGTTTAAAATTGAAAACAAAAAGAAGGCAATTATTCTGAATCAATGAAACATGAAATAAATTTGTAGCTCGGTTAATATTGTATAGGATTAAGAGAATAACTTACAAAAATAATCAAAATTTGATCTCAAATTACTAACAATAATGAAATATTCTGCAATTTATATTATAAATAAATTATAATTTATAAATTATTAATATTTATTTATTGATATTATTTTATATTTAACTATGATAAAATTTCTCATAGAAAAAATATAATTATCTGCCAAATTCAGAATCTTGCGACACCCCAATAAGAATGAAGTTATTTGAATAATTTTGAAATCGAGTTGTTTACATACAATGTAAATATCCTGTTACATCGTTTACAAAATATTTAATGATAGTAAAAACAGCGAGTAAAGTACTAAAGTTTTAATTGGTATCTTTATAGAAGACGTATTCAAACATTAAACCATGTTTACAGAAATATTTAACCAGGTGTATCAATATTTTGCATATCAATCATCGACATTTTTGGTAAGACGGAAAGTCGTAATTTTGAATGATTATAGTAGATAGGAAGAAAGATATCAAAATGTTAATTAAAAACTTAGTAAATTTAGCTTGTAGTGGATAACGATTTTATAAAGTTTGAATTTCGGTTTATTGAAGGTTTATAACTCGTCGAAAATACGTTGGATTATATAAATAATTAATAAGCTTAACATTCTCTTTACAATATATAATCGTCTTTCCTTTTCGAAGGTGTTAGTTTAAATCTCTCCCCGATATTCCTATATTTTGAATTGATTGACTGTTCAAGCCTTTTCGATACTTCATTCTAATTTCGTGTTAAGACAAT